GTAATGCTATGGCGATTTGTCTTTCAGTACACGGATCATGTCCCTTCTTCAGTAAATTTTTAAGTATAAAATGATTGGCACAAGGACTCTGGCCGCCGCGGAGCACCGCCCAGTCATAGGCAGTAATCAGCTAATTATTCACCGCAACAAGTTTGACAGACCGAAATAGGCCGAAAGATGAGACAAACAATGACCTCAGAGAGGTAAGTATTTCCACTCCTGCCTCATTTAGAATTTCAAATCGACCCGAACCTCACTACGACTGGATTACACAGAAAAAAAACCCCTGAGGTTCTGGCAAAGATGCACGAATACCTAAATGATATCGACTACAAGCAAAGTCTCGAACAAGTGACCCTTAAAACCACATGATAGATTATTAGCATTCCAGCCATTCTGCATAAAACTGCTTTCAAACTTTCGTGCTCTATTGACACCTTTAACAATGATTCAAAGGACTCATAGTCTTTGTAAAGCAACAAAGAAAGTTGATTTACCTGAAGTAGATGAAAGTAAGGTCATTAAATAATTAGGATGAGAAAAAATTACAGCCGACGCTCGAGGAACGAGGGGTTGAGCAAACAAAAGCAACTACGTGTTTGTTCTTACCTCACAACATTTCCTCCTTTCGCTTAAGCATGAAAACAGAAAACGAGTTCAATAAAATGGACGAAAACATCAATCCACGCATCACAGCCGTGTGAGCAATATCTCCTTGCTAAGCGATAAATTTAGCCTCAAAACCGTTTCCTTGTTCCATTGGTACGATTTGACACCATAAAACAAGATTTGAATAAAGCTCTTTTCCGTTTCGTCTAAAAGCCTTCTAGTAAATTTCCTTTATTAGCCTTCATGGTTGTGTCTGACATCAACTGAACGATGGGTGAGGCAACAAATCTATCACAGAGCAGATACCTTGAAGCCCCCTTGATGCATGGAATTATGAAACAACGGTTCCAGCGAAATTCTGGTCACAGGACGTGACACACGACAGAATGCCTTTCTTTTCTCCCTTACACAAAATATAGTTTAATTCAATTCTCTTTGACCAACACTTCAACCCCAGCCCAAGTTTGTGAAAGTACGCAGTATATTTACATTGCTAAGCAAATTTCTATAACTAAACGGAGGAGTAAAATTCAAATGTCGACGAGCACAAAAAGTACAAAACTTCAGAAACACCCACTTTGTCAGATTAAAATGGAGTCGAAGCAAAAACGCCGTATTGGAAGCGTAAGTGGCAAAAGTCCGGTCATTTAACGAAATACACTCAGGTTGGAGAAGTTTAGTTTTAAGATTCAGTTACAACCGATAATTTGGATCAGATGTGGGAGACATTAGTGACTCGAAGATGAAGAATTTTTCCCAAACATTAAAAACGTCTCGAAATTGCCTCCTACTAATATGTAAATAAGTAAAAACCTTGGCCTCAAATACCTTATGTTCACCAATAGGTTTGCTGAATTTGCGGAGGTCCCATGCTGCCAGTATTCCACCTTTACAACCGCTATAGAAGGCAACATTTTGCGACGGCGGTGGCAAAACATCCGCATCGCCAGCGGAAACCACCGAAGAGAGCGAACTCCGCGCTTCCAAACTGTTATTTACTGAAGGTTCGTGTATGCTGACATCACCCATAGTGGAAATCATGGAATCTGCATCACTGAAGTCTAGCGTGGTGGTAGAAGGGAACCCACTAGACAGGCGACTTTCCATATCACTGTAAAGCCCGTAGAGAGATTTGAGACAAAGAATTGTGCCCTGGTGATAAGTGTTTGAGAGGGCGGAATGCTGACTTGGCGCTCGAAAATCAAAAACTGCCAGTTCCCTGTGGAATGTCCCAATGGCTACGAGATTTGGATCGACAAAATCGGAACAGAGAACCACGGAGTTCATTCTTAAAAAAAGGAATTTGTTACAAGTGACATTCGATTGCACAGCTCAGTGCTTAGAATTCAAATCGAACGTTAACACGAAATGCCATCATTATTTATTGACAATATTTCAAGAGAACCTTTGTAGCTATATAACAATTCTCCCTTCAAAAAGTCAGAGTCGTAGTTACGCATTCCTTTGTGGGATTGGAAAACAAAACCAACGAATTCTTCATTAAATCGACATAATACACCAATATGATGATCAGTGACTGCGTGAACCTTTCCTTCCATTTGTGACAACGAGTAAGTGCCGTTAAGTGGAGCTAGGAATTTAACTCAGTACAGCATTCAGGCAACCGTCCGATGAAATTAACCAACATGGCCTCATGAGATGACCAACCTAACCGACTCAAAAAACCGTTTTGTGAGGCGGATTTCGATTCCAGAATGATCCAGCCAGGCAATGCGAACGAATCTCACTTTAACAAACGCTCAGTCGATTATGTATTGTTTGCACAGAAGACAAAAGCTGAAACCATAAAATCCCTGTCTATAACATATTCAACATATGCATCCCTTTTATCGGAGAAGCACACAAAAGGGGGGAGATAAAAGCAAACTCCAATTCTACCTGTACTGAGAAAGCAGATCCACAGTCGCATTGTCCATCGTCCACACCCGCAAATGACGATCCCATGAACCAGTGGCTATCACATTACTGTCACTAGAAATAGTCCAAATCCAGCCCTAAAATAGCCATCAGATTTGAAACAGCAAGATGCAGTGACTACATTGTGTGCTTGAGCATCAGTGTATATGGGCTTGGGTTCCTCTTCGCCAAGAAGGGACTTGAGGGACAATAGTGAAAGAGTTCCACCGCGATCTCCAACTGCAAATAGGTTTTGATTTGGAGGCTTGAGACAAAAGTAGCATGAGGAGAAGCGAGCTTACTTTCAGTATCTGTATTGCATCGATGCAATGGGCGGTGTAGTGTCGACCTGTTAGATGCATAAGGTTACTAGAGTCACCCGAGAACCAACGCTCAATGGTTTCATGAGCAATGCAAACATCCTTCCAATTAATTTGCTTTCCTGGTTAAAGATACACATAAGACTAGATTGGAAAACTAAAAGAAAACGATTTAAGGAACAGTTGCGCTTTAAACAGGTTTAAATTAAAAATTTAACCGCTGCACTCCAGAAATTCACACGAAACACCCACCTGGAATACAAGAGTATTCCCCATTGTTGTTTCTGGAAAGACGTCTTAACCAAAAAGATTTTTGATTTATTGACTTGGCGATTGCATCGCATGAACCAGTCATAGAAATAACATCATCAATTGACAAAAAATCGCATATTTTTTGAATCACCACGGCTGGAAGATCAATAATCGCTACCATAGCTAAGAAATCTGCACTTTGGTTACTGGCAAATTAAATCAGATGGAGGCGTCGTCAAAGCAGGCGTCCGTCCCCGTCATTGGCCTACTGTACTCCTCCAATGATTGGTCTATTCGAATATGAGTTAAGATATTATGAAACATGTAGTGCATCTTAACAAAATTGAGACTCTATAAAATTTTATCCTAAACACACAAGTTGGTAATAATATAGCCTACTACATCTGTTGGCGAAAAACGGGTTTACAGCTATGCTTTAACCTAGCATGCATTCTCTAGCACCTGGTTGGTGCTGTCAAAACAACTGCAATATACGAATTTGACTGTTACCCTGCATGTCACCCCTCTCTGCATTAATGCTCACCCCATTACCTGGATGCTCACTAATCTTAAGAGGACTAAGACTATGATAGCTGGGATTTACGTGTGCATAAAAGATAGTGCTATCTTTCTCAAAAATGGGCTATTCTCCTTAATGCAAAGCAGCGGGATGCATCTTCTTCACATAGACTTTATTGATGCTATCTGCTTTACTCTGTATGTACAAAATACATCTGTGAATGGTCTTTCGTATAGAGTATGTTTACGCATTTCGTCCGCTTACACACTGATACGCCCTACTAGCATACTGTGGGAGAGTTCTCTTAAATTTGGTGGATTTATTTCTAA